GCCCCGGGAGAGGGGGTGGGAAGAGAGAGGGGATGGTCCTTGGCAGAAACGGGCGTAGGGTGGACCTCACTCCCGCGTAACTGGCTGAGCGAAAAGAAGGAGCAACTTGTGCACTCATTGTGATGCACGACGCCCGCCCCAACGGCGGACCGCCTCTCCCGCTCAAACTTCCTGACCTCGCCTCGAACTCTCTCATAGCCGACCGCACGTTTCCAATCACGAGCTTGCAAAGAAACCGCTTCATAATTTTACCTTTTGTAAAACAAAAAACTCCCTAAAGTCCTTTATTTTGTTAACATAACTCATCCGAAAGAAATCAACAGCCATTATTTTTGAGGTTTTTCATATCAAAATACTTGCTCAGGCGAAAAACAAATAAATGGATTTCTTTCTCGTATCCAGTGAACTGCGAAGGTCTCAGCTGTATAGGTTTCGTAGGATTGGGAAGGGTGGGAGTCTGAACTTCATGGAAAGGGTAGTACCTCCATCCTACGCGTTGGCTGCTTTCTGCTCGCTCGTCTGAAATACAGCAAAATAATTTATTGGTCAAAGTTTTCGTAAAGGAAAAGAAGACAGAAAGGATAGAGAAAGGGGGTGGGGAGATAGAGGGAGAGAGAGAGAGAGAGAGAGAGAGAGAGAGAGAGAAAGAGAAAGAGAGAGAGAGAGAGAGAGGGGAGTACAAGGGAATGCCAGGCAGGGAATCGGAAGAGACGAATGAGAAAAGAAAACAGACGACGAGTCCGCGCGGGTTGGTCTCGGGGGCGGGGGCAGCTGAAGAAAGGATGTGCCCTCAGTGCCAGGTGGGGGAGAGGCAGAAGCAGCCCCCGAACTTTGGCGGTCGATATCCTATTATCAACGTATCGGTTCGAGCGTGCGGCATCCTACACTGCCCGCGAAAAGATGAAATAAACTAGAGGAACCCGGAATGCAACGACCTTTCCACTGCTTGGGCGATTTCTCTCAAAGTATGGCAGAGGGCTGCAGTTGGAGAAAAGCTTTGGCGCCAGTATGGCAGGCTGGTCTGGCCCATGGTCTGGCCTGCCCGAGGGTATCGGGTGTCCCATGACAGTCGTCCTAGGCAGCTGAGCAGCGCGCTCTGCAGGTGAGAGAAAGAGTTATGGAGTCGAAGTCGCGGCTGGAAATCATAGCAAGATGAAGATGGCTCCAGCCGCGCTGACCTTAGCAGCCGATTTAAATTTCACGTTCGCCGTCTTTCTATCTCCTCCGAGGCCCCTCGTTAACACAAATCACCTGCTCGCCACCAACAAAAATAGATATTTCACGCGCGTAGGAAAGGGGTGGCTTCGTTCTTTTGTTTCTTTTTCCTTTGCAGTGTATTGCGTGCTGATTTACCACCCCGCTAATGACGTGACAATCAATTAAGCCCGGCTATCACGTGATGCGGGAGGTGTGCTGATATGTTGATTCGCGGATACGCGCGGATGTGACGCGCGGCTTTGATATGGGCGGGGCGCATCATCCTTCTTCGTGGGGTGTTCCTGGCCCCGCCCCGCCACACAGTTCTTCACGCAGACACACGCACACGCGCGCGCACGCACACACACACACACACAGACACAGACACACACACACACACACACACAGACGCGCACGCGTGCATGTATTACCACAGAAAAATGTAAAAGAAATTTACGGGCAGTGTACGCTTGGATTTTTACAGAAATGATAGGACTTTTTTTTTTTTTTTTCTTCTTCTTAGTGTTCTGTAAATTTAAATATTGTGGTTAGGTCTAGCCTTGGCAAGTAGTATTCCAAGGATTTTTATGGTAAAATCTCCTCCAATTTTATTTTACTGAGCAACGCTCCTCATGCCCGTCTTTTTCTTTCCTCACCCATAATTGCAGCTACCCTGGCCATTTTTCAAACATCTATTTAAAATTTAGTAGTGTGGAAAAATTGCAATACTGTCGTGAAGATTGCTATCTGACCTGACAAGCTTAGCAAAGAAAATAATTTACCTAACTTCCAGCGTTGCCAACACGTGACTCACGTTGTGCCGGCTTACGCCACACCGGGCATGTTAAACTTGCAGTGCTTCATACAAGAGCAGGCCAACTGGGCGGCCTGTTTCGTCCACCTCGGCTCAGCCCATCGCCCCTTGCTATCTGTGTAAAACAAAGGTATGCTCTCTGCTCTATCGACAGGGGTGACCCGCCAATGGACGAGTAACTCTCTATTAACCCTGCCAGTACATATGAGAATGTGATACGTCACCATAACTCGCCGTTATTTTGCGTGAAAGCCCATGTGCGCTCTTATAGCCGACCGCACTTAGCAAAGGCCCCCCCAAATTAAAATGGCTACACACACCAGTGGCGATGTAGGTGGTGGTGCGGTGAGGGTTAAAATATGGTCCGATGCACTTTCAGCGGGCGTCAGGGCAGTTTGGAAATTAATATCAGGAGTGCATCAGCAGCGATACAGGCCGAGTTAAGGATTCCAGTTTCGAGGCGTCCTGTGCGCTATGGCGTCCACCAGTAACAAATGGTCCACCGCGTTTGACATTTGCCATCTCTGGTGTCAGTTACGACTCGTTGAGCTCGCATAAGAGGTAAAAGGAGATCAAATTTCAGTTTCTATTAAATAAATACTTTTTTTCAGCTGATAGCAACTCGCTCCAGTGGTGCCCGGTAGGCTCCCCAATCTTCGCTTGCTCTGAATTCCTGAAATATTAAACGCACGTGTGATTGGCTGCGAGCTCCGGGCTCACGGCTTTGGGGCTCCGGGCTCATGGCCCTGGCTCCGGGGCGCCAGAGCAGCACTACTTGATGCTCCGGGCAGATACAGTGGTGCGCCATGCAGCGCCATGCAGCTTATGGCGCATAAATTCATGAAGTGAAATGGCATGCACGCCGCCGGCCAGCCCGGCCCTTGGCTAGTTTGTGTGGTGCAGACGACGCTATGTCTTGTGGTACGAAAGAAGCCCCCTCAGACGGCACCCTGCAAAACCACATCACCTAATTTGGCGACGGATAAGTCGTATTTTTGGGAAGGGGAAAAAGTTTTGTGGGTTCTCTTTATCGATGAAAATTTTTAGAAGAAAAAAAATATCTCCATGCATGATGGTCACCGTGAACAACGATTAAGGAGGAGTAATAATGTTTCATCCATTTCGATCCGCGCCTCAGCTGCGGTACCGTGTATGAAGCCGTCAGCCTCATTAAGGGAGACGCAACAAATTATCTGTTCTAGCGCGGTAGGCGCGGCGGCCCGGAGCGCTTCAAGTGACCGATCCATTCGTGATTCATTATTGGAGGATCCGCCGACAACGCGCCGAACGAGTTCCCCCCCGCCCGTCACCGCGGTAATGATTTACGTGAAAATTGACCACAAAACCAAAGAATAAGACGATAAATATAAAAATTACAACAAAAACATACATCAGTCGCCGGGGGTGAGGACTTACTTCATGCCCCCTCCCGCCCCCTTTTCGTCTCTTTCTCTCTCTCGCGCTCAGTGTCCAGTCAGCACGAGTGCCCCACCTTCTCGTCCGTAATTAAGAAATCAAACTGCCCTAAATCATGTACAAGATTGAGCCTGCCGGCGCCGTGCAATATATATGCATATGCGGGCCCGGGCTCGCAGAACGGCGCACAATATTGCAGTCTAGGTACACCGTTGGAAAACGAAAACATTACCGGACTACTTTGCTTTTCAGGAAGTCTCCTCAAAAATATGTGGTTATTTTCCTCACTTTTTGAGAAGATTTTACTCAAAATCTGAGGAGTTTTCCTCAAATATGGGACCGTCCAGCGCGATGGTCGGGATGCTTTTTATTCTGGCATCGCTCGAGTCGCAGTAACTTATATCTAAGACAACTTGGCTAGAGAGTGTTTGCTTGTGCCGCCTCATCGCGGAGGATGATAAATCGCAGCCTTTATTCACTTTCAGCCCGTCGGCTCAGGTGGCACCGGACGTGTGGCCGAAAAGCGTTTGCGTAGCAAAGCCTGGCCTGCACCCTGCGCCATTCAGAGGGCGCGTTACAGGGAGCTGCAGCGATTCTAATACCTAATGCTAGCGTGTGTGTGTGTCCGTGTTTGTGTTCTTGTTTTGTTTTTGTTTTTTGTTTTTTGCTGTCCGGCGGGGTCCTCGCTTTTAGAGCTGGACAAGCAAGGGGGACCCTCCCAAGAGATGTAACTCTCAAACAAGCTAGCTCACCCATGCCATGGCTGTTTCCGGCGGACCCCACTGCCCAGCACCCCACCCCCTTTCTCCCGCTCTCCAAAGAGCATCACTCCCCCTCCACCGCGATGCAAATAACTGCATCAATTCGTAATTGGCGGAATTTATGAGGCGAATCGGCGCCGTGTTGACGGATGGCTCCCCGCTCCGGCCGGCCCAGTCCTCCGCGTCTGTATGCAGAGAGAGAGAGAGAGAGAGAGAGAGAGAGAGAGAGAGAGAGAGAGACGAGGGAGGGTATGGGCGGCAGTGTGTGAGAGCGGATTCGACGGGTTGATATCTTACTTCCGAACCGCAGCTTCGTCGTCGTCGGTGGGTCCTTAGTGGCTCCGGATATCGCCCCGCTGCTCAAAACCGATATTTCTGCATTTTTCTCCGTCTGACTGCCCCACCGATAGTACCGTTCATCCTTGCAGATATTCCGGGTATAAGGGGTCTTTTTCGTTTTTCCTCTTTTCAGCAAAATAGAGACTAGTATTTTCAGATGGATCGTGTGATTTTTACGCACAGAGTTAGATATTCCTGTGTTGGCAGCGCTGGAGTTTCTCGTTCTGCGCACAGTCGTGCGCGTGCGTGCGTTCGGTGAACAGGGCTAATCCTTATTAATGTATGACACGTCTCGTTGGTGTTGGCTGAAATAATTTCGCAGGTGTCCGGGGAGCACTGCTGCGTCACGGCGCATACGTGCGAATATTTCCGCGAAGGCGTGTATGCCCATTCCTGAGCTCGGATGAGGCAAGATCCGCCATTCTTTTCAATATGTGCACGGACTCTAACTCGCGCCTTTCTCCCTGTTCCAGACGTGCAAGTGCTCGCGAGTGTAGGATCGCTTTTTCGAGTGCCATGGATAACATTATTGGATTACCTTCGCATCGCACCGCCCGGAGCAGACGCAGGAGACCTGGTAAGTTGCAGTTCGTCTGGTTGGGTTAGCTATACACCGCCTGGAGCCAGAGAAGGGGATGTGACGAGCGTTCCTCTTATCAGCGCGAGCAGGAGCCAGAGAGAAGGTTTCACAAAATGCGAGGTTAGGCTCGCAGCAGGCGCAAGGCCTCACAAAAAGATCTCGCGCCCGGAGGCGTCTGCCGCGGGGGGATTTATCGCCAAGCAAGACCTGGTTAACTACTCCAGTATTCAGGTATGCAGCCAAGCGATAAATTTGTTCTTAGCTTTTAGATCCCCCTTCGCGTCTTGCGCCCCCCTCCGCAGCCCCTCCGAGCGGCTCTCCCTCTTCCTCTCTCTCCCTTCCTCCCCTATTATTTCCTCTTCTCGGCGCGTATGTCCCCGCCGGGAGAGTCGCGCGTGTAATCGCCACGGGGAATGAGACCACTACTGGGGTGGGCCGTGTCCGCACCGCGCCGGGCGCCGGGCGGAGACGGTGGCTCTTCAGGAGGTAGAAGTTGGATCATGGGACGTCCAGATGTCCATTCTACGGCACACGAGAACAAGTCAAAGGTGACAGGTCATGTCGTACCTCTGTTGAGGTGGTACAGGAATTTTGACTTAAATGACATACCAATTGACTACCATTGTGAAAATTACTTCCCTTCGCCACGGTAAAAACAATGTCTCATTTTTGGAGGGAAGAGGGAAAACTTTGAGGAACTCCGCTGGTTTGACAAAAAACCTCTCAGATTTCGAGGAAGTCTCCTCAAAGCACGTGGTATTTTTCCTCATTTTTTGAGAATTTTCCTTAAAATCCGTGGCGAGATCGGAGGACTCTTCCTCAAACTTGGGAGTTCCTCAAAGTTTTCCCTTTTCCTTAAAAAAATGAGACATTGTTTTTAGCGTGGCAGTCTGAGTCTCACACTTATTTGATTTAACACTGCTGAACATTTTTGAAAGTTACATTTTTAATGGTAACTGAAACAACTTTAACGATCCATGTTAGAAAAAATTCTGGGAGCAGTTTGGGTCTGATTTTGCGGAAACTTTAATGATGACTTCATTGGACTGGTTCCGGTGGGGTAATTAAGAGGCGTTGACAGGTGTTAGGCGGGGATGAAAGGTGGGTGTGTGTGTGTGTGTGTGTGTGTGTGTGTTAGTTGGTGGAGGGGAGGGTGTGGGTGTGCGTGTGTGGGCGGAGAAGAGAGTGCGGTTGGGGGGCGTTGATGGCGCCGGCTTCCGATTGTTTGGAATGTCAAGTGCACGGCGCGCTACAAGCTTGTCGCGGCCGGGCCGGCCCGGAGCCACACCCGCGCGCGCTGCACACGTTATGCGTTATGGCCCATAAAGCGGCGGCACCGACTTCCGTGCGATATACGCCGCGAAGGACGATAGCGGCTCCTTTACGGGCGGAGCTGGATAAATACCGACAGCGGCACCCGACGGTGGCGGCGGCGCAGGCGAGACAGAAGTAGGCGAAGTGGTGGGATAAATACCGGAGCAACGGGATGAAATTCATCCCGTTTTGATTTGTAGACCAATTTTGTTCGAGTTCGTTCGAATTCGAACTGCGGCCTTGTTCGTCCATCTCTAAGATAAACACCGATGCAACAGGGGTAAATACCGAAGCAGTAAAATGGATACCAACGAAGCTAAAATATGCCAGAATTGAGTCCGACGCACTCGAATTTGACGAACAATTACCTTCGAAGTAAACACATGCTGTACTCAGATGGAGCTCTAAATATGCACTCGAGCTAGTCATAAGCAAATTATAAGTATATAAAGTAAAATCCATTATTGGACGAACATTGACTCTTTTTGGGTACGCGATGAGTGCTCCAGCAGCGGTACTCGGTGGCAACTGTCTCACTCATTCTAAAGCTCGAACGACTCCCTGTGTCCTCTGCTAGAACGCTCTCCGCCTCGCTACGCCACCGGCTGCACCCAAAGTGATTGCTGCTTACGAAGAGTTCCGATATGTGCCGTCGTCGAGTCGGGGCTCTGCCGCTCTGCCGCAGAGACGAGGGAGAGGGGGAGGGAGAGGGGGAGGGAGAGAAAGAGCGAGAGAGAGTGAGAGAGAGGGAGGGAGAGAGAGAAAGAGGGAGAGAGGGAGAGAGAGGGAGGGAGAGAGGGAGAGAGAATTTAAGGGATCAAGGCGTGGATAGAAAAACTGTGGTAGGTTAGAAGCGAAAGGGCTGCAGATCGCAAAACCGTGTTGCATTACTTAAAAATAAAAATGAGTTTAAATAGAAATAATACAAAATAAAACAAATCTACAGGCTTGGAAGAGAAATCGAGAGACGAGGAGGAAGCGAGACTTGGCGCGAGGAGCAGCGCCGCGGCTTGAAGGCGCTGGGGGTGCGTGGCGGGTCAGCGCCTGTGGGTAGGCCAGAAAGCAGCACGCGTGTCTTACGGGACGACCTACCTCCCAGGCGCTCGACCCGCCTCACAAGAAACCGAGCGCAACTGTTATAGTTTATTCTGTCGTTTTTGTGGTTAAGACGTTTCAATTTTTTTATACCTAGTTTCGTAATAGGGCGGAGATTTCTCTCCTTCCTTTGCGATTGGACTGAAGTTCGAGAAACCACCGCAAAAGCATTACGATCCAGCACATCGCTACACTTCGTCTCCTCTCCCCTCAGCTCCACGCACCAACTTCAGGATTCTAAGCTTGCTTTCGCATGTTTTTTGTAGTTTTCCATTATGTGTTTCATCGAATATATAAATTTTCTGGGACTTGAATGAGAAAGTTCGGCTGGAGAGTCTCTCTTTCTCTCTGTCTCTCTCGCACGTGAAAGACGACTCGAGCCATTTATTTTTATCTGGCCAAGTCACGTCGGGGGGAGCGCCGTGTATATAAGGTGGTGGCGGGGGTTGGTGGTAAAA